CACACACATCACTGTTCCCCATCACCTCCTGAGTCCCAGGACCCTCCCTGTGCAGATGCTAGAGGCCCTTTACTTACACATATCGTCATTGCAATGTGACATTATTAAGTCGGGGATCAGGGACTGGCCTGGAGGTCAAACTAGTCCTTGCTCTTTTAGGTGAAATGATCAGGGGTTAGTCACGTGTCTTAAGTTCCTCATCTGTGAAGTGACGGGCCCTCTGTTACAATCGTTCCCAGGCTGGGGAGCCTCACTTGTGTGCCAACCCTGAGCTGGACACTTTCCATTCCTCACTGCTAATCCCCAGAACACAGGGTATCATGGTGTCCCTTGTCCAAGTAAGGACCCGAGATTCAAGCCTGAACTTTACTATCTCCATCCCAGAAGAGTGGAGCTGGAATTTAAGGCCAGCTCTGCCCAGCTCCAGGGCCTGACCCTTTCCTCTGCCCTGGGCTGACTAGATGGTTTGAAGGGGCCTTTCCAGCCCTGGATGGTTTTAGGTGCTGGCAAGGGGCTGATGGAGCGGAAGGAGCCTGGGCCTGGGTGGGTGTGGGCACTGGGAGGAAGTAGGGAGGGTGATATCAGCACACCCAGCAGCTGGGTTGCTCCCTGAGCCTCAGAGCAGTGTGGGAGTGTGGGGGCCCCCTTGGCTGGTGTGGAGACCCGCTTCCCACAGGCAGATGTTGCTGGGGCTGAAGTGGGGCATGGAGGAGTGTCTGGGGCCCCTTAACTTCCCCTCAGGCACTTCCTGCCCTTCAACCACTGGTTCCTGTTTGAGGGCAAAGAGGGGGCCACTGTCTTCACACCAGAGCCAAATATACTGACTAGGGTCTGGAAACTGCAATCCTCCTGGGTTTAAGAGGAATTCTGGAGAGTGGGGAACAGAAGCCCAGGTGGAGGCCATAAGGGCTGTGGGCATAGAAAGGGATTGTCTTTCATTATTTGGGGAGCAGAGACTCAGAGGATTCCTCGATGGTCCAGGGAAACTCAAACCCATACTCTCCCTCCCCTCATCTTAGCTTCACCTGACTCTGGGGTGTGACCATCCTTCCACCAAGTCCCTGCCCATTCCCAGCTTACCCAGAGCCCGTGGCCTGCAGGATAAACAGACTCCAAACTGGCCAGCGCTGTCTGGCTGGAGAGAAGTGTTGCCACTTCAGACATTCCTGCCTCTCCTCTGGCTTTAACTTCTCCCCCAGCCTGGGTTCCTCCCCAGCATTGCTAGGAGAGGAAGTTTGGCTTGAGGGTTAGGGTTACAACATCTTTTCTTTCAAACTCTTGGGCCTGTAGCTAGGGCTGTCATCTCCAGGCATTTCACGGATCCTGCCACTAGTCAGCCAACATCCACCTCCTTCAGGTGACTTCCTTAGTTAACTTTTTCTTTACTACCCCTCACACTGCATCTGTTGAGACTGCTTGATCTTGGTGTATGTGTGTGGACACACACACCCCACTCCCACATCAGACTGGGAGCTCTGGCATATTTGGGGTGACCCACTTGTGTCTGATTAACAAACAGGAGACAGACTAGATCTACATGAGCCCTGTGGATCCATCTAGGACAGAAAGTTGGTGACAAGTTGGTGACAGAAAGGAGGTATGCGCAATCCAGGTAAACTTCCTGTAGGAGGCAGCTTTCTGGCATTGAAAACAGAACTAAATAAAAGACAGCAGGCTGAGGCCCTCTGGAGAGACCTGGGTGAAGGCTTCTTAGTGGCACTGTGATGGAGAAGGAGATGGGTGCTAGAGGATTGCAGGCTTACTCCTTGGGGAGGGTGAAGACTGGGGAACTCATGTAAGGCAAAGGGTGAGGCGGAGATCTGGTGCTTGGGTGGGTCCATATTCATTTGCATTTCCCCTTCCAAATTCAAGAAACTTCTACTTCCTCCCTCACCCTTCTCCCCATCCTCCATGTTCCTTATGCTGAATAATATTCAGGGTTTTTTACAGTTGATTATTAAAAAGTACAAACATAGGATGAAATGAAAAGAATTGAACAGTGAACATATTCTTACCATCTAGACACTACTAGTTAACATTTTTTGCTTTGTTTTTGAGATGGGTGGGTCTCACTCTGTCACTCAGCCTGAAATGCAGTGGTGAAATCATAGCTCACTGCAGCCTTGAATTCCTGGGCTCAGTGATCCTGCCACCTCAGCCTCCTGAGTAGCTAGGATGACAGGCACCTGCTACCACATGAGGCTTTGTAGAGATGGGTCTTACGATGTTGCCCAGGCTGGTCTTGAACTCCTGGCCTCACGCAATCGTTCTACCTTAGCCTCCCAAAGTGCTGGAATTACAGGAGTAACCCACTGCACCCAGCTCTGTTAACATCTTTTATTTGCTTTATCACATATTTATCAATCCATCTCACTTTTAAATATTTTTTAAAATTGCGAATATCAGTACATGTTACATCTAAACCCTTCAGAAACTTCACATTGACTGGAGTTCAGTATTTATTTCCCTATTTCTTTTCTGGTCTGAGGAAGACAAATTTTACATA